GCCTGGTTATCCAAGGAGTGGATTTTCCTCTATACGGTTTGAGACATAGTATGCCGCCGTTGCCGCAAAAGAGCTACCGCTGCACAAATCCAGGAGTCATGTGACAAGCTTTCATTAATGTGCTTGTTTGTCCAAAAATGGTTTACTTCATATCAGGAGCCAATAGTCAAGATATTTTTAAAACATTGACTTAAATGTACAACTCTCAATTGTACTTAAAAAGCACGACCGTACCCTGTGCTTCTTGCAAACGAGTCATTGTGTGGACTTACTCAAGCATGTTTTACAGGCCTAGGACCATATTTATGAATGTCTCAATTATCTATATGTAACTTTTTAAAGATGAGTTAACCAGGCTTTTTTCCTTAGGGTCCTGAAATATCTTTCTGCAGCTACTGGGGGAGAGGGAGTGCTTTCAGCTTGGGTTCCAGTTCTGGTTAGTATTTCCTTTCCTGATTATCAGAGGAGAGATGTATGTGCCCTTTTAAACTGCACAGCATTTACATTCATCTTTTCTCATCCCCTGCTGTGAATGTAGGGGATGAGAAATGTAAAGTTTGGATTTTTTTTTTTATTTTTTCTTTTAATGCTCAATCTTCTTATTCCCGCCTGGGTAAAATCTGCCATGCCAGCCTCCAGCCAGATGCAAAGTAAAATGTTACTTTTTGTCGACTCCTCAATTATGCACAGACCTCTCAGCTGTGCAGTGCTCAGTTTAATTTTGAGCAACTTTTGTAAACTGCCATAAGAATGAGGTGAAGTTGTTGAGAGCATATCCATCTCATCATCTTTTCCTCTTCAGACGAAAAAAACAGACTATGACAAGCTCACTGTGTATTTTACACTTACTTTTGGTTTTGCTTTTAATCAGTCAGTCAGATGCATTTTTGTGGCCCTAAGATTAACCGAAGCTCTTTTCTTTCCACAAAAAAAAGACTTAAATTGCATCACACAGAAGTGTTTTAGAGATTAAATGTAAACAGCATGCATGTGTAGTTTTATCCCCGCTTATTTTTAAATGGCTAACTGTGCATACATTTGAGTTCACAATCCTATTCCAAAAATACCTGTGATTTATTCTTATCGTATTGCCCAGCTAACAGTAAGAAAGAGGCTCAAGTGGCTCAGTACAGATTAGAGTCACCTCTTACACAACAGGCTGTAAGATCCAATGAGCACCATAAGACCTGACTTGTGAAGAGCGCTGTCCTCTGCAGGCTAGGGAATCCCTTGGCAATACTGCGTATGCTGAAAATAAAGGGCTATTTCCCACTGACTTCACTAGAAGAATGGCTTGTTAGAAAGGCAGTAATATGTTTGCAAAGGCCAATGTAAATAAGGTCTCGAGGTTCCTCATACTTATCTTAAATCAATTAAAGTTTTCATTCTTTTTTTAACTATAATTAAGATTTGGTTTTATTTGATTCCTTGTAAATTTACCAACTGCAACATATACAACAAGACAAACATCTACATTTGCTTCTTCCAAATGTATCTGAACAGATCCAGTCCATGGGAGACGCTCCCTTGCCACCACAGGGTGACATTTTGGCAATTTCTGGGTCATCATAGGGTTTTCTGCCATGATTGGTTAGATTCACTGAGCCTTACGCTTTTTCACCAATTCTGTTTTTACCTCAGCCTCACCATACGTCTCTTCCTTTATCCACTTCTCCCTCCTTCCTGCTCGTGTTCCCAAAATCAATTACTTTTCCTGTTCCAGGGTTGCAGATCAGCTCAAAGTGAAGAGAGCTCTGAGGCTTTTCTGCTCCTCCCCGCAGCACAGTAATAAATTATGGAAGTCACTGTCACAGGATATCGCAGAGACCAGAAATATAAACGGCTTCAAAAAGATAGCTCCATCCATGACTGGTAAACATGACGCACACAACATGTGAACAGACCCTCAACTGATTACAGAAAATTAGGAAGATATACTGGAGAAAGAAAGGATGTTCCTAAAGATGTCGTTTCTTCTGTAATCCCCTAGACATCCATCACTGGGCACTGTTGAAAACTGTCCAAGGTTACATGGATGTTTTGTCAGACTTTGTATGTCTGTTATTTTGTCCCGAGTTCTCCTCTTCCTCCTCGGTTGTTCTCTCTCACTTTTGATCCGCAAGGTCTTCCACCAAGCAAATATTATCATTGTTGTTATTTACTGACAACACTGGAAGTTTGGGTGTTTGAGAGACAGAGATATGTCACAGCCCACAGTGAGGAGTCTCTACCACTTGGATTCCAAATATCAGCTTGGGAGGCTTTAGTCAGAGACATACCCTGATGTGAAAACATATTGGGGTCTTCTTAGGGCTGCAGCAGCACCACTTGAATTAAATTAATAACTTAGCAATTGTATTTAGCAGTGGGGGGAAATGAGAGTCTACTTTCTAGAAATCGTATTTAATTTGGAGGAAAAAAAGATTCTAGAATCAATATTCAGGTTTGGTGAATATTGATTCCACCAGAGACTGGACTGTTGCTAAGTCAGTAGGAAGAGATACTACATGAAATCATTCGATGCGGCTCTTCAAGCAGTTCCTAGATTGCATACTGTACACAGTAGCTTCTTCAAGTCTCAATTTACTGTCAAGCTATTCTTCAACACGTTGCGAGCCATTGAGCTTTATAGTACACTTTCTTGGCAGGTATTATCATACCTATTTTGCAGCTAAATAGACCAGGATGATTTGTCCAAAATAACCTGGGGAGAGCTGAAAAAAATAGCCTAGTACACGTGTTCCTTCTCTTGAAGGCCCATTAAGATTTCTTGTAAAACCCTAGGAATTTATAATGCTTCACTACCTTGTCAGAGCTGGACAGAATGAAGCAGCAGGCTCCCCTTCATGAACAGGGGAGAATTCATTCGCAGATGAAGATCCTAGATGAAACGCAGTATATGAGCCCTCCAGAGGCCTATTTTCTGTCTGGAAGTGTTGTGAGGATCTTGTGTCAGTTCTCTGCATAAAGAGTGACTCTTATCCCCAGAACATAGTGTCCCTTGTTGAGATACTTGTTCAAAGCTTACCTGACCAAAACTTAACTTATACAGACGTGATTGCCACCCGGTAACCAGATTTTTTCCTCTCAAAAAATCTCACTTTTGTTTCCACATCCATGCCTCCCCTCAATATGATGAAACATGAAATAGTTATTTTAATGGTAAACCACAGCTATGATTTTAAAATATCTCAAGGTCATCGTTCTAACTAGGAGACAATGACTCAGACCCAAAAATATTTCTTCTCATAGAACTCTGAATATCCAAATATGAAATAAAGGATGAGTCAGATTTGTTACAGCTTTTTTTTTTTTTTGGGGGGGGGGGGTCAAAAAAATGTGTGTGTTTGTTTTTTTACTTTTTTTTTTTTTTTTTTTGGGGGGGGGGGTGTCAACTATTCAATGTTGCTCTTCGTTATTTTTTAATCCTTTTTGGAGCGTTAAATTCTCCCTGCATAACCACCTCTGCTGTAGTCACTGCTGAACGGATGGTGTGCTGATCTTTTTATTGGTGGGTAATGGATTTGGTGTGATTGCTTGACAAAAGAACAATAGAAGGATAAACAATTCCATTTGAGCCCATGAAACTCCCCATCTGTTGAGTATGTGCGCGTTCAGAGGGAGCTGGGCAGAGACAGATGAACAAGGCAGCCAAGCCTGATGTTAATGACATCAGTCATACAAGCGGAACATGTGGCACAATAAATCAAAAACTAATTGAACTTTTGCTTGCTTATATTGCTGTCTCACTGCCCATTTTAAACACTGCACTGTTTCCTGGAACAATGTCCCTCCCAATACATTTGCTGCCCTTGGACAGCAGGAGGCTGCCCTGGGAGGTAACAAATGATACCAGGTTCTCTTCATTCATTTTCTTCTGAAACAGTGACACCTTCCAAAGAACCAAAATGCTTCCAGGCCTAGGATGTTTATTTGATCAATGTTTATTTTTTCAGAGTAAAACTTTCTATTCATAGGACGTTGGCAGCCCGCATTTCTCAGCAGTTTCCATCTGGGACAGTTGGTGGTCGTCTATAGGAGAAGAAAGAGCTAATTTTTGTGTTAATTACACGTGCACACTAGTAATGAAGGCTATTCAGTGGAGTGATACAATTTAATATCTTGAATAACTTGAGAGTATTTCTGCTACGTCAGTTGCTGGAGTATGCAAGTCAAAATTTGCACACTGGCCTGCTGTCTATGGCAGCAGTAAGTCATCAGAACTTGAGGGGGCTAATTTTCATAGGTATGGAAAAGGAACAGTTTGTAAAAGAAGCATGAAGGAATGCACTTGAAACCTTTGGAAAAGAGACCCTTTCTTGAAACGCATAACTACGGAATTGGGCCCAAGATCCATCAAATTATGCAGGAATCTGTCTATGATTGAGACATCTACTCTCTCCTTGGGACCATTAAAGTGTAACGGGCAATAGACCTATGTATATCTGTCTGACGTGCCATTTTTTAGACATTTGCATTGAAATTGTGCATTGAAGTGCCCAGAATTCAGGTACTAATTTATGAACTTAAAAGGCAAAGAACCAAATGCCTTTCTTAATACACCTATGACCAGCTCTTCGTTAATTGGAGGAGCAACTTTTCATTATAAACGTGTTCAAGCACACAAAGCATTAAACCAACTCATTTAAAAAATCCTTGCAATACTTCTGTAAGCTTGTATTTGCCCATACATCAGCTGCACAGAACAGCCTTTAATTGTCAGCCATTTATTGTAGAGGATTTTCCAAACTGGTAAAAAGGGAAACGTAAAATAAAATGCTACTATCTGAGTAGAGGCTTAAGTAACAGCTAAATTAAATCTTTGCATTAGTAGTATTCATACAAAGGCAGATGGGAGCAGAAAATGTTGCAATGAAGAATATGGAATGAGATGAGATCACAGCATCAGTCTGTCCTTTGTAGATCTGGACAATGATCACAGAGCCAGATTGGATTAGTGAAACCTATTTACCAGAAGTTCAGAGCAGTTGCATGAAGCTGAAAGGCAGTCAGTGGAGAGAGCTGGAAAATGCATCAGATTTACAGCTGCAGCGATGAAAATTTAGAAGTTTTCACCACTGTGATTTCATCCAAATGTGAGTACATAGAAACTAGCATAACAGATAGCGGTGTTGTCTTTTAGATGAGTGGAATGTTTTATTTTATCATCAGAGAAATCTCTGAAGTGATACGCGGCTCTGTTTGATCTGCTGCGCTGTGCTCGCAGTTCAGCACTCCCTGCTTGTTTCTCAAGCTAATCTGTGCAGGTGCTTAGACACTGTGGCTGCGTAAAATCTTTGTACAGGCAAAACTGGAAGATCTGGAATCAGCACTCATATACCTATTAGGTAATTGCTAAAGTGGCAGCTTGCAACTGTACGGCTATTCTATGCGACAGAAAAGAAAATGAATTTCTGTGAGCAGTTAGCATCTCAGATGAACTGGGTGCACTGCCTGAATGTTGAATTTAAGTATGCTGGCTCAATAAGTGGAACATTTCCAAAGCCATGCCCTCAGAATGAATGCATGATTAACGTTAATTGCTTGTAATGAAGAGTAAGAACCGGACAAAGCCTAGTCTGCATGCTTTTGATTGAACAAATTAGTTTAAACTCGATAGCTGCGTATTTCAGCAACAACAAGAAGAAAGCAGGAAAAATCAGGGAAAATAAATTTTCAGGGGCTAGATCAGGTCTTTACTTGGAAGCTGCAAGCATGAGCGCTCAGCTGCTTAATTTCAGAATATAAGTGGAAATGACAGAGTGGACCATCACTGTAATTGTTTTGTTGCCTGAAATCTGGATTGTACATCCAAACATCCTTTCACAGGCAAATCCAGAAACAACATCTGCAAGAATTCGTTCTTCCCTTCCTGCTCCCACCCCCTGCTGAAAAGTCATGTTTGCAGGGTTCCCCCTGCAATTCCCCTGTTTTCACTGCTGCCTTTGTACTCCTGTGCAAGTGGGTCACTGATGTCTAGCTCCATGATTCGCTCTTCCTTCAGTGGCTATTCAAGTAACTGCACGTTTGGTGGTGCTGTAACTTCCCTTTCATGCCATTCCTTTCTTCAGCCCGCGTAAGCCATTTGCCACTTAAACTGGCAGATGACAGGCAATGATTTGGCCTGTGGATCATGCGTACCCTGAAAGCAGGCATACTTACTACTGTTAGATACATTTATTTGTTGTTCATTGTGGTACCGGCTTGGGTGCCCATAACATAGCATAAAGGTATTCCCTTCTGCAAGGAATATATTTAAACTGCTGTATTTTACTGTACAGTAAAATACATGACATGCCAGAGAGATGTGAAGATGATTCCTCGTATCATTAAACTTTTCTGCACTTGGGTTTCATTAGTGTTTTGCTTGTGGGCAATTCATGAGTTCACCCCTCACACGGTGAAATCCCAAAAGTCATGGTGGCTGCAGCAGCTTCACAAGCAGGTTACAACAAATTCATAGCCAAAAATCCAGCTTCATTATGTCTGTCTGGTTTTCATCCTGTGCTCGCCATGGTTTAAATTATAAAGCTTCCCATGCAGGAGAAGGCTGTAGAGATCCTTGAGGATATCATCCTGTTCAAAACAGAGCTTAACCAGCTCACAGCTTAGCACGCTCTCAAACTGCGTATACACAGATAACTTGTTTGTGATGGGTTAAGCGTGTAGCACCCAGGACTTCAGTGGCTCGTTAGCCAGGAACTTCATCCTGTCCTGTTGTTCCCATTTTTATGGGGAACGTTCCAGGCAACTGCCATGCTAGTACAAGGGAGAAATCCCTGGATGTTGCAAGGCATTGCTGCTCTGATACTGCGTAGCTAGGGGCAGCTTTTAGACAAACACAACCTGCCTAGAACCCCATGTCGTGAGGCAAAGTGACTTTGGTGTCCCTGCCAGCTCTACTTGTGCCACAGCCCTGGAAAGCCGGGCTACTTGTTACTCCTGACATCAAAGGAGAAGCCCCATTGCAAAGGGGCAGCAGCTACCAGGACCATGAGGAGATCACAACTCATCCCCATGACCCCCTCGGGCAGCGGGAGCAGCAAGCCTCTCCTTTAAGACTCACCCTTGTCATCTCCAGGCAGGAATTTTGTTTTGCAACAATAATGAGAAGCTTTGAGTGAACCTCATCTGCTTCCACATCCTCGAAAGTCTTTACGAACAGTAATACATAACAGTAATGAGTGCTGCAACTCCTGCATTTGAACGTATCCCAAAAATGTAAAGGAAAGTTCATCTGGAGAATAAGATTCACGTGTGATTCGATAACAAACCTTTTTGATTCTTCAAAGCCTTTTGACTACAAGTTGAGCCTGGGCAGGAACCCTCCATTCACATGCCTTTCCCTCAAGGTCAACATTTAGAATTTTTTTAAACTGAGTCTGAATTTTGCCGGCCTGTTTCTGTAATTGGCCGCTAAATCCTGCAGCCATGACTTCTATATCCTGAATACAGGAGAAGGTACTAATTTTAAAGCACGATGGGCAAGATATGATCAGAATTTTTTAGTCCAGTTTTAAGTCAAACTGAGACAAAAACTATTTAAATAATCTCCAATTTGTCCAAAAAAGCCCATTCACTTCAGTGCAAGTGGAGTGTCTGATCTAACCACCAACTTTGCTTACGATTCTGGTATCTTGTGCATCTAGTGGCTAATGATTCTGTTTTGCCAATGATTTTGGTGTCCTAATGGGTTTAAAAATAGAATTGAAAACAAACTCCAAGCAAAATCAAGCTAAAGAACTGAATGGGTCATTTTGAGGATTGAAAAAAAAAAAACAAGACGAGACTTACTGCAAGCGTTTCATTTTGGACACAATGCAGTAAGTCTGAAATGACTTTACTGGACAGTTTGAGCTTACTGAGAAAGTCTGTATTTATATGAAAGGCTGAGCCTCTTTAAAGCTAACGCATATGCTAGTCAGGTTTGAAGCGGAGTCGATGGAAAGAGAAGTTAATTTCTTTCTGAAACGAAAGAGCTGCTGTCCTAAACACGGGCAGGTAGGAGGCCAATCAAAAACTCATGAACAAAAAAGACGATTCTTCCTGGAAGCCTGTGGCAGAAATGCAGAAACTTTGGGACGCCTGTTGCCCTGTGTCTGTAGATGTTTGTGTTGTACAGCTAGAAAACGGTCTCTGAGATGACATTAAGTGAAAGGACTTTCTTCTGGGGTGAGTGCTCCAGCTGAAACCCTCCTTGAGCCTTTCCTTGGGCCCGTCTCCCTCCCAGCCCCCAGTACAATCTCATGGAGCCCTTCCAGGGGCGTATTTAACCTCATGTCATTGCTGTAGCACAGCCGCAGCACCTTAAAGTAACGAAAAGTGGCTTAAAACACTGAAATGAGATTTTTTTTTTTTAATAATAGCACAGTTATCATTTATTTTATTGGACGTTAGCTCTCTGAGGCCCTCAGCTTTTCTGCACACCCGCACAGGCACAGACCGTATCGCGGTGGGGGGTTAACAGAAGAGCTGACGCGCTCGCCTGCCGGCACAGGGCCTCGAGACAAGTTGAATACCAGGAACCTCCTGACCAAACTGGCATTTCTGGTCTGCCTGAGCCGCCAGCTGTGCCTGCTGGCAGCCGCTGCTGCGCCTTGTCCCCCCTGGTGCTCCAGCCCGGCGGGAAATGGCGCTTACGCCCCCATCCCCTTTCCGGCAGCGGGCAGCAGGACGGGAGGCGCCGTTTGGGCCCGTCTGCCTCACCTGCGCCCTGATCCTCTTTCTGTTGTTCTCTCCGCAGCGTGTAGTCCTGCCCGAAGAAGAGCCACAGCGCCGCAGCACACCCTAACAAAGAGTGTAAGGAAAAAAAAAACAAAAAAAATCTCCTTTTCTCTCCTGCTCTCTCTTTTTTTAATTCGAATTGGCTAAATCTATCCTTAAAAACGCCATGGATAAATAGGAAGCAGATCTTTGAGGGCTGGGGCAAAGAAGCGTAACTGCCTGGTGCCGGGAGAGGGGCGGGAAGCAGAAAGGGGAGTTTCTGAGAAGTTACAGGTATTAGGCAGGTGGCTTTGGAAACTCTTCAAAAAATGCTGTCTTTCTGTGCAGAGCTAGTTAAACATAACAGCTTATCCGCCCAGGTCATCTGAGGGATTCACAGACACAAAGCCGCTCTCTTTACTGCCGGGTTGCAGCGCCACGGCGTTCGCCAGCCACCTAAACCTGCCGCATGGGAATACGTGAGAGCAGAGGGGCAGCAGCATCGCACCGCTGCAGCAGGGCAAGCGTCCTCTCGCGGCCCTTCACCCCAAAGGAGCCACGCTAAAGAGCACAGTACCAAACTGCAGCTGAATGCGGCCCTTACCTCCTCATCCAGCCTCGCCCTGCCCACCATCCAGCGCCGCGCTGCCTCTCGCCTCAGGGAGAAAATCGCTTCAAGTTTCCCATAGCGCTGTGCTACACAGTCTCACCTTTTTCTCCTTCCCCGTTTTCTCTTAGCCGTATGAGTAACGCTCATTTGCTGCTGTTATTTTCAGGAAGTCTGTAAATATTTTTGCACCGGATTCGGTCTTCTGAACATTATTAAATACCTGATAATAATAAAAGCAACAACAGCAGAACTGTGGGGAAAGGTTTTTCCAGTTTTAGGCACTTCAACCCCTTAGTTTGCGCTTGCGTTCTGCTGTCTTCAGGGGCAATTTTCCCTCCTTAAACCCATCTGGCCCGCTCACAACACCTTTCATGACCCTTTTATCGCAATGCTCTCTTGTAGGACTGACAGCCTCTCCCTCTGCAGTGCGTGCTTAAGGCACTTTGTATCAGCTTTGAGACTCTTCTGTCAAAGTAGTCTCACTACAGACTTCTCCCTTCTCTAGGGAAAAGGGAGTTTACTTTATTGAAACATTTTGCCGCATGGCCTTCCCTTTTCCCACTTGCCGCATCCCACTTCCCGGGAGAAGTTCTGTAGCAGCATTATACTTATGTAGGCCTAAGAAAACAGGAGAAGAAAGTCCCTGTCTAGTCACTGTATTTTTATAGGATTTTTCTTGCTTTGGGGCTTTCCTGACCCCAATTAAAGCTGTCCTTTGCTTGGCCCTTATTCACGATGCAGACAGCATCATATTAGCACCAGGCATAAGGAACAGCCTGCAAATCCAGCTAAGAAAATCAGCAAGGCTTTCAAACCAAAGTAATCTGCACAGTCAACTCTCAGAACTGTGCGTTTCCCCCTTTCAGTGTGATGCAGCTGCTTACAGCTAGTGTGAAATCATTCAAATAAATCGCAAGTGCTGGAATATACATGCCTCTGAGGAAGTTGTGATTGCCAATTTCTAGACCCACACAAAAGTAGCAGAATGATTACTTATTTTTCACTTTTACTTCTGCACCTGCTGTTGGTGCTGCAGAAATGCCTCAGCTAACATGAGATCTTCTGCTCTGGTAATTGCAGTGGATGCACAACTTTAATCCTAGACTAGGGCAAAAATAGCAAGCAACATGGACATCTGCCAGATTGTTTTTCAGCCACACTCAAACACTCAAGCCACGTAGCATTAAGTGATTTAACACTGAAATGACTGAGCTTGTGAGGTAACTTCCATCATTACATTCAAGAATCCATCCCAGAAGCACAATCGTGACAGCAGAAGGGGGAAAAAGGGAGGAAACACTTTCTTTTTTAAATTAAGTATTTCCTCACTATGCTTTTTTGCAGTTCGTATTGCCCTCTTAAGAGTTACTTACTTCTAGTAATAATAGCACATCCTTTCCTTCTCGTCCCTAAATCCTTTGATTAGAACGTTAAAAAGAGTCTTGACACCAATACCTGACTACTTAGCAGAAAAATGGCAAATACCAGTGTGTATGTTAGTGCTGCCACATTAAGAGTCAGATAAACATTAGATCATCAAGAAGAACTTAGCTCTAAAAATCTGCCATTTCCTCCATTAACAACACTTAGTTGTTCAGCCACTAAGCTTCAAAGTTTTATCCAAAGCTAGATGTGTGACTGTGATCTTCTTTGCTTGTTTTTTTTTGTTTGATGGTGGGGTTTTGGTTCCAAGAGCACTGAGCTGTTGGGGTAGTGTCCATGCCCTTCCACAGCATTCCT